TTTTATTTATCAATAGTTTCATAAAAAGAGAATTATTCCTTTCCCTGTGGATATGAACTCTACTTCACCTATACTACGTATAAGTGCTAGTATCGATTTATTTTGACACACCGTGACAAAGTGCTCGTCACTAGAGTTTACCTCATTTGGGAGAACACCCCATGTTTACCTCCTTGGTGACTTGAATTTAGGATCTCCCATATGGGGAAGAATTTATGTGTAGGAGTTGTTCCGCTTGAATCATTCTCACTTTTATGTACACAAAGTTAGCTCAAACTAAGCCGTTTCACTTTCATAAATTGGGTTGCCTATATCCAAGACGTTATGCTTGTCAAACTAAAATTTATACTAATTAACTATTTTCATATGGACCAAATCCAGCATTTGGAATTTAGGTGTTATTCACATGATATATGAGTGGGGGCAAATGCCCTTTTTTATTCCTTACAGTTTATTTATTTACGTTCTATTGATGCCTAAGCATGTCTTATATTCGATTAAATTACTAATTTGCATAGTTATCTAACATCCTAATTAAGAGTCTTGCGTTCGAATTGGTACTACTTAACATATAAACAAGAGAAAATTCCCTAAATGGGACTAAAACAATGACAAAATGCAAAATTAGGACCATCATGTTTTTTGGACGTTTTTAGGATTAAAATTTAGCAGTTTGACAAAATTAGCCCTCTAGGTTCCCGTCGTATCGCAGAGATGCGCGGTAGTCATCCTCCAGGAACCACAATGATGTGACAGCCATCCTCCAGGAATCATAGTTGTTGCCACCCTTCGTCCATACCACCTCCGCTATTGGCAAGTCCCTTCTCCTCCTTCTTCACTACTTTCTTCTTCCTGCTCCATCTTATTCCTGGCTCTCTGTTTTTTTTTGTTTAGTCTATTACTTTGATTACTTTCAAAATTCTAAATAAAATTTTTGATTTTGAAATTTCAAATTAAGAGTCAAATTTCTATGAAACAACCAGTGAAAGAAATGATTAATTTCACTTTTTGGATCTGAGAATGCCACTTTTATGTCATCTTTTTATAGGATGATTGCATAATTTCCTATGAAAATGTCACAACTTTCAATGTGAAAATGTCATCTTTTTACAATAGAAAATGTCATCTTTTTACAGTAAAAAATGTCATCTTTTATACGAAAATGTCATTTTATGTCAAACTGAGATTGTCATCTTTATAAGCATACTGTCATAAAAGTGGCATTTTTTTCAAATAACCAATAAGTTTGACATTCTCAGATTCAAGAAGTGTCATTTTCTGGGAATCTGCATTCTGAAGTTCAAAATTGCTAAATTAATTAAAATTTAAATCCAGAAATATTAAAATACAGAGGACCTAGAAGAAGATGAGAAAAGGAAGAAAAGAAAAAGAAGAAGAAGAACAAGGAGAAGAAGAAGAAGAGATAAGAAGGAAAAGAACCAATTACCTACTATTGATTTGGCGGTCGAAATCAACGAAATCAGACGGTGACAATAGATGCCATACCGGCGGCAAAGGGAGGCAACAAAGGGAGGCGGCGAAGGGAGACGACGATGGTAGGAGCAAAACCAACGAAGAGATGCTCTGGTAGTCTGGTGCGCACTTGAGTTTCGATGATGGAGTTGAGTTGCGATCGATGACAGAGGAATACCTGACTTTGATGAGTAAAGGATTGGGGATTTAATTATATAAGGGTATAATGGTAATGTTTAGTCCTATTTAGGGAATATAAAACATGAAATCTTATTTTGGAATTTTAACCATGTTTTAATCCTATTTAGGGCAATTCTTTCTATAAACAATGAATCTTAGCTCGAAGAAATGATTGTGACATTTGTGCATTCTGCATTCAGCAAATATGGCAAGTCAAGTTAATGCATGCCACCTGCATCTATGCCATAGCATTGTAAATACATTCGATGTATCTATTTCCTACTTTGGTATGTCTAGGGTTTAGGCTATTTCTTACTTTGGCATGTCTAGGGTTTAGACATCATTAGGAAAAAATGATGGATATACTAAGTAATTATATTACTACAACACCCTTTTCGATGGATAAAGATAGGACTATGACTTAATTTGAACAAAAAAAGAGATTAAATATTATTCCCTCCTTCCCAATTTGATGGTCTGATCGATGTTTACGAGGTTTGACTTACGATAAAACAAACGGATCTCTATTCACACACAAACTATTTTTAGAAAATAAAATTTACATATTCAGAAATTAAATTAAAACATTACAAAGTCGCAAAAAATAAATCAAATTCGATAAAGTTCGATATAGTATAAAGTAAGAGATTAAGAGTCATTTGTGCAACATATGTGAATAAGAAATAAGATCTTCAAATTTATACGGAGATAGTACTAAATTGACTGAAACAATCTTGATATGAATAGATTGGGGCAAGCATCCCTGGGCTCAACCCAAGATATACTTCCTCCGTCCCATTGGACTTTGTCAACTTTCTCTTTTTTTTTGTCCCAAAAAACTTTGTCACTTTCATATTAAAGCAACTAATTTGTGGTTCTGCACATTTCTTTTTCCTCTGCATGAATCTCAACCACACAATTTTTACTATTCTTATTTCTCAGCTACTTTGCACTTGACAAAATCCACCGGGACGGATGTAGTATTAATTAATAAACCGGCCTTACCGGGTAGCGACTGGACCAATAGCACCGGCCCAACTAAAAAGAAATGAAGGATGCTTGACATTTGGGGTAGCAAACAACATTGTTACCGGGCATGTTCCCACTAAATTGCTGACTCTTATATTCTTAACATATAAGAATGTTAAGAATATATAATTCGAAGTTGTTTTGAGATTATTGTAAATGCTCTTTGTCATATTTCGAGCCTAATATATCCAAAGTTCAAACTTGGTCTTTCTCAAACAAATTATAAGTATTAATCTTAAATGTACAGTCTTTTTCCTTGTATCAACTTCAGTTTTTATTTTATATTTCACTATAAATTGATCACACTCTCGAGCGGTAGCGCGTGCATGTATTAAGTGTTCAAGGTGAGATAATAAATAAGTAATTGCTCTTAATAGAAATAAAAAAGTAATTGCTGTAAATAGGAGTCCATGCCAAATATTTCCTAAACAGAACTAACCACTAATGTTCTACCCTTCATACATCTAATCTAATTAATTAATACCCCGTATGATTACTTGATTCCTAGTTCCCTTAGCTTGCGACCCGTCGGTGGCTGCCTGGCTGGTCAGTTCGTTAGTGACGCGCGAGCGGTCCGGCGGTGGGAGTGACAACGGGAGGCTTTGTGGCTGATGCATTCTGGAAATTTTAAGCGGATTATGGTTGCAGCAGCCGACAAGAGCTCTTGCAGATGCATCTTTGTCCAAGCTTCAAAAATATTCCTATTTAGTAAATTCTTAAAATATACTCTTATTTTTACACTTTCTCTATGTTTTACTTATATTTGGAGAATTATCTCGAGAATAAACTTTTATGCTTTGACCGGGTAAAGTGGACTTAAGTAAACTTAGTGTATGTAAACCTAGATTAATGTAATGAATTGTTGATTGGATGCAATGCTCTAACTCATTAATGACATTTATACCCTTCGTATGTATATAGTATAAGTGCATGAATATTGTGAATGCTCCATACGATCTTGAATTTGTGATTGAGACTGCAACAACGTAACAATTGAATACACAGTTGTAGTGTAAGTATCGGTTTGACTAAGCCATACTGATCTTATTTATTATTATAAATATTAAAAAATTGTTCACTTGACAATTAAAAAATGTGTAAATTAGAGCAGAGACTACAACCGAGAAGAAAGGGAAGAATAACAAAGGAGAAGAGAGTGGGGGAGAAGAGGAAGAGAAAAACTTGATCCGGCGCTGCCATGAAGTTGGCGAGTGATTGAAATTGGCGGAAAATGGTGTGTAAATAAAGGGAGTATGAGGGAGAAGGAACTTGTGAACAAGGGGAGATATGATGAGTGAAACATAACCTTCGAACCTCCTCCCCCCAATATGAAGGTTCTTAAATGTCAAGTTTGGAAAAAAAAATGGCATGTTTTAAAACCTAGTAATATCAAACTTGGCAGAAATTTACTCCTATTCAAGGAATAAAAAACATGAAACTCATATTTTGGAATTTCAAAACTTTTTTACTCCTATTTAGGGAATTCTCTCTTAAAAGTTAAACTTAGGATGTTTTTACTTAAACTATTTTCAGTCCCAAATCAGACCAAACTTAAACAGACCAGACCAAACTTAAACAGACCAAACGAGACTTCCGTAGTTATAAAATGGGATATTTTGAGTTTGCACCCCACTTTATTGTTTAAATTAGACTTTGCACCCCATTTTTGAAATCTTTAGTATTTGCACCCCCAACCCCGTATGAAAAGACTAAAATGCCCCTCAATTAACAATTTTGTTGGCCTTCAACATATTTCTGATCGAGGGGCATTCTTGTCTTTTCATACGGGGTTAGGGTGCAAATACTAAGGATTTCAAAAACGGGGTGCAAAGTCTAATTTCGACAATAAGATGGGGTGCAAACTCAAATTATCCCTTATAAAATACAAAGAGATCAGACAATTAGCAGACCAATTCAGACCAAACCAAACCAGACCAGATTTAAACAGAACAGATCTTACATAACCTAAGTTAACCTTGGAACAACCCGAGCATTAATGGGTCTCTAGAGCGAGTTATGTTTTGTTGAGATTTAAAGCATGCACGGGTACCATCCGGCCCGGCTCATTTACTCCCTAAGACATTTCATCCCCTCGTTTGTGGCTGCCTTTAATTGGTTCTGGGCGGAGGGTACAAGCAAAGGGTTGAATTTCCTTACACAATTATTATTATTATTATTATACTCTCTACTAAAAGGAAAAAGGGACACGTTGCAATAAGTGTACACATAGGGCGGTTTTGACCCACTGCCTTTGACTAACCAACATTTCTCCCTCCCTCTATATATACCACTCTCCAAGCTAACCACTTAAGCTATTACTTCAATTCCCATTCAGATCATATACATACTAAACCATAGTAATTAATGAGCAATTACATTCCAACTTCCAAGCCTCATAATTAGTTTCCAATCAAGTACAGAAGCACAAACCAATTAAGTAACCAATCCATAGATTGCTTTTTGCATAGTATATGAATATATCTAAGATGGGGAGATCACCATTATGTGAAAAGAATGGACTGAAGAAAGGTCCTTGGACCCCTGATGAAGACCAAAAGCTCACTGATTACATCCATAAACATGGCCATGGAAACTGGAGGGCCCTCCCAAAGAATGCTGGTACGTACTTCAATTATTTTACCTCAACTTTGATTTGATTTTCATTTATATGCTATTGAATTCTACGAAATCAATCTAATAGCACGATCGAGTATGTTCATCCATCCATTTTCATTTACCCCAGTACCGCAAAGGCTCCCACCTACGGTGGGGTAAGGGGGGTCGGATGTACGCAGTCTTACCCCTGTACTAAGCACAGAGAGACCGTTTCCGGATGACCCATAGTGAAAATCCCGTCCAAAATTGCATGGACTGACTGCTGCTTCATGACAAAGAAGCGCAAACAGTTTAGTGAGCCATTTTGCTTTATTCCATCACGATCGAGTATGTTATAGGTTTGTAATTCTAGATTTATATTATGTTGCTTTATACTTGTTACGATCAAGCATATAGTACGTGTACATAGGATCATAATATAGTGTGTTATTGTTTTATAGTAATTCAATATGACACAAATATTTGTATGTTTCTAAGTCAATAATCCCGGCCCGGCCCGACCTCGAAATGTATTATATAGGTTTGGAAAGGTGTGGAAAGAGCTGCCGACTACGTTGGACAAATTATCTGAGGCCTGACATTAAGAGAGGAAGGTTTTCCTTTGATGAAGAAGAGACAATAATTCAGCTCCATCGTGTCTTAGGAAACAAGTACGTGTGGCACATGTTTTGGTCAAATAAATACCTTTCTCTTAAAATTTGGAAACTCCCATCTCTATACTACGTTTAGAACTTCAAATTATCCTTCCAAATATGATAAAAAATAATGTAACATTTACAAAATAGTTTAATTTTTAACTTTTTACCTTCCAAATATGTTTCGGAATACCCACGCCAATCTATAAAGGTAAGAAACTAGTCTTCATAAGAGTTGGGAACTTGATGTTATCTTTATACTTAAATTAAAATGGGTCCAAAAGAAAACTACATGATTAGATTTGTTCAAATCGAAGACTTCTATCATTCTATGCATGGATGCACAGTTTTGTATCCCCGCCTTTTTTACACAAACATCTTTGTTTTTATTTTAAATTTTACAAACTTTTCTGTTGATTAAATTATATGTACATATACACATATACTATACACACAAATATAACAACTGTACTATAAGTCTATAACTTCCCCTCATAGAAAAAAGTTATGTTCGATTGTTAGGATACGTTTGGGAAGTTTGGAAAGAAGTAAAATGGAAGCTTTGAAAGTTAGCCATATGGGAGGATAAGGGTAGGAGAAGTGAAGGAAAATTCTTCTTATTTGGGGGTTATTACAACTTTGAAAAGAGAGACTATGAATGATTAGTTATAATTTAAATCATTTCAGAGATGTACGTAATACATTCAAATAATTGAACATGTGTTTATTTTATAAATTGAGTTAAAGTTATATCTAAATACTTATCTTTCGAAACTCTCCAATCTGGGGTAACTTAACAAGTGAGCCTTAACATGAACATGAAAAGAAAGATTATAAACCCTTTTACCCCTTCTCCTCTCCTTCAAAATCTAACTCCCAAACAAAATTAGGTTTTAATTTTGTAAGGTCTGACCATTAATCATTCTAAGTTCATAGTAATTCATAGCATGATGTACAAATATAAAGCGCAGTATATTTCAAGAATTTATTTAACTGTCAGGTTTTAATTTCAAGATATATGTACTATTATAAAAAAATATCTAAGATTAGGTTGACAAATATATATAATTATATATAGGTGGTCAGCAATAGCTGCAAGCTTGCCGGGAAGAACGGACAATGAAATAAAGAATTATTGGAATACTCACATCAGGAAAAGGCTGCTCAGAATGGGAATCGATCCTGTAACCCATGCCCCCAGATTTCTTGACTTCTTTCTTCTTCAACAGATCAGCCTTTCAAGATTGTTAGGTGGGCTTAGTCCTCACCTTCTCAGCTCTCGTACTGCTTCTCTACTTTCTTCTCAAAGCCCAGGCCCGATTACGAATTTGGGCTTCCAAAATCCACAAGATTATACAATGACCCAAACTAGCCCAATCCTGAGCCCGGCTCAAGTCACGGAGCAGCCCAATACGGACCAGCTCCTTGCCGTGGATGAAAATTATTGGCAGCCCAATGAGTGGGAAAGTTATAACAAGGTACTACCGCCATCTAATTTGACGGGAGGAGAGGACTATTATTTGCCGCCTCTTACTGTTGAAGAAGACGGCGGCTACTACGATGATCCTCCACCGTCCATCGGGGGCGGCTATCCTCCACCATCCGATTCGTCAACGCTCTACTCACCAAGCGACGCGAATGATTTCAGCTGCTTCCAACCTGCCGCCTTATTGCCCGATTTTTCAACGCCGCCGTCGACGTCGTCAAGTAGCCATTTGACGGCGGAGGAAGAGCTGAAGATGCATCATCGTGACGTCATCATCAGCTACTCCGGCCAGCAAGGAAACTATTCACTTTTGGAGTAGTACATATATGCTGTAGTACAAAAATGGTATCAAGAGAATATGAATTAGCTCTATCTAGTGCTCCTCCGTCTCGACGATAAAGCAAACAGATCTCTACATGTACTCAAATTATTTTTAGAAAAAAAAATTACATATTTAGAAACTACATTAAAAGCTTTACAAAGTCGCAAAAACCAGAATCAAATTTGATAAAAATTTGATATATAAAGTAAGAGATTAAGAGTGATTTACGTTGATAAGTGAATAAGAAAAGTAGTTTACAAAATGGGATTGAGGGAGTAATTGTTTTTATCATTGATTAATTATTAGTTGTTGGAAGTTAGAAATGTATTTGATCGAATGGTTAGATTTAACGTGACATTCAAATTATTATTATATGGAGTAAATTATATTGTCCCGTTTTAACTTATCGGTCCGTCCCACTAAGATTGTCTCATACCAAATTTGACAAAATTTGTGTAACTCTAAATCATTCTTACTTTATTCTTACTTTATCAATTCAATATCAACCACATAAACCACTTTTTATTGATTTACGTGTCACTCCTTCTTGTCTCATTGTTAGCGGGATGAAGGGAGTGTTATAAAATCATCACATAATGTCATATATTCAATAAAGTGTTATATAAATACGTCTACTTATAAAAACAATCGTATAAGTCCTAACGACCTGTTGACAACCTCATAATCCAGATTTTTAGCATACGCCTGACTATCTTCTTAGAATAAATTATAAGGCATATGTGGAATATTTAACTAAGATTGATTGAAATACAAGGCAAAAATAATGACATGTAAGCTATAATCGGAATTAGAAGATTATCAACATGTCGTTAGGACTCATCTGATTACTTTTCATAAGTAGACGTATTTATATGATACTTTATTGAATATATGAGCTTATATCGATTCCATAATAGTAAGACTTTATTTGACCATTTTCTCTTTTTAATATACTTCATCATTTCCAGGAGTTTGCTACTGGAAAAGTAGAAATCATTCACCATAAGTACTTACCCGCACGGGTGTATGGGCCTACTGTCATTCTGCTGACTGAGTCACCATGACTAACCTCTCCATCATCCTATCAGGTCGGGGTGGGGGCTCCTGGGGTGGGAGATTCCACCTTTTGGATCAATTTGGATCAATAAAAAAAACAGAAAGGTTGAAGTTTCAAAGCAAAAGATATCTCTGTGTGATGAAGAGATAATGAGGATAGTATTGTGAGGTAATGAGGTTAGCTAGAAACAATTGATGAAAGTTACTTGAAGCCAATGGACAAACACGTGATTTTTTCACGTAAGATTTGGGCCAGCGCAGTGCCGAATAACAGCAAGGACAAAGAGTAAAATTAAAAGTCCTCCATAGAAAATGAGTCTTTTAATATATGGGGGCTAAACTTTGTGCATAGTCCTCCACTCCTGCATAGACCAAAATTAGTGAATTTGTACCTTTGGCAAGTCGTGTATAACACGCAATAATTTAAATGGTGAAAGTGTTACAAAAATAACTTCACGCAAGTTAGATTTTATAAAATGTAATTGACTTTCACCACGCGTACTACACATGAATATCACGCAAGTTTGAAAGTTAGTTTTAAAAAAGTAATTAAAATATCTCAAACTTTAAAGGGGTGTAAGACTCTGTTCTAAAAATCGTTCTAGGCACCTGACTAATCCCCGCCTAGGCGCTAGGCGATGACCAAGCACCCCGATTTTCGTCTAGCGCTTCAACTAATTGATTTGTCATCTAGGTGATTTAGTCTACCATCTATGACGTCTAGTTGTCCGCTTAGAGCGCCTAATCGACCGCCTAGGTCGTCTAAATTTATTGATGGACTCGGGTCGGGTGGCCCGACCCGGAACCGGCCCGGGACCGGTACTGTTCCGGCCCGGCCCAACCCGGTGGCCCGGTCAGTGACCGGTCCGGGTAGCCCCGACCCGTGGGTTTTCCGGTCCGGGCTTGGGTCAACCAAAACAAGGCCCGACCCGGACGGGCCCAAGCCCGGTTCGGGCCAAAACTATTTTTTTTTTCAATTTTTTTTAAATTTTCATGTTGGGCTGGGTATTTTGGGCCATTTGGGGTGGTTTGCGGGTTGGGGGTGGGAGGGGGGTTAATTAGGAAGAGGAAAAGAAAAAAAATTGATAATGGGCCCGGCCCGGCCCGGCCCGAACCCGGACCGGCCCCGGTGGTTACCCGGGCCTAGGGATGGACTGGGCTGGGTCGAACCGGCCCGGAACCGAACCGGCCCGGTACTGTTTGGGCCCAGACTGGACCGGGACCGGTTGGCCGGTTCCGGGCTTTTAGCCCGTTTGGGAGGGTCGGGCCAGCCGAGCTCGGGCCCAATTTTGGGCGAACCAGCCCGGGCAGTTCGGGTCGGGCCCGGGTCTTTTTTTTGTTTGTTTTTTCAATTTTTTTTCTTTTCCTAGGCTAGGGCTGGGTGTTTTGGGGAGGTTTGGGGGGTGGGGGTGAGAGGGGTCAGGGATAACAAGAAAGCAAAAAAAAGGACATTGAACCGGGCCCGGCCCGGTTAGGGCCGGACCCGGTATCAACCCGGGCCGGTTCCGGGCCCATGAATTTGCAAAAAAAGCCCGCCTGAGCCCGGCCCGGAACCGGACCAGCCCGGGTCCATCCCTACCCGGGCCGGTCCCGGGTCCACCACTTCTGAACCGTCGGCCCACCCAGGCCTAGGTCCGCCCCAGACCCGGCCCGGACCCGAGTCCATCCCTGTCTAAATTCACCGAACATTACTTTACTTTTTAATTTTAATTTTTTAAGCGATATACGTACTTTAACTTTAGCCATAGATATAAAGAAATGAAGTTGTAAATTAAGATAAAACTATATATGTTTGTAGCATAATGAAGTTAGTTAATGTTTGTTATGTTATACTTCCTCCGTTCCATAAAAGTTGCAACATTGGAATTTCTGCAGTATTCACACACCTTACTTTGACTACAATTTTCTAATAATATATATAATAAAAATATTATGTATAAAATATTAATAAATTTGTATCAATGTAAATTTCCAATATATTTACTTTTTCTAATGTTTACTAATACGTAAATAAATATAATTACAATCAAAGTTGCGCGTTGGCAAACGTGAAAGTCAAACTGTTGCAACTTTTATGGAACAGATGATAGTACTACATATGATTAAATGTGATAATTCTATCATTCATGTTTGTTAATGTGTGTGTGTGTGTGTATGTATGTATATGTATTTTACTCACACAAAAATGCAATATTACTTATCATATTTATGCAAAAATATAGATAATAATGCAATTTTTATGTCTCTGACTAGGCACCCGCCTAGCCGCCTAGGCGCTGGGATGGCGCTCGACTAGCGCCTTTTAGAACATTGGTGTGAGATGAACACCCCAAACTTGCATATGTAATTTAAATACCCCAAACTTTATATAAAAAGTTATTTTCGCACCATTGTCATGTATTATTTCTTTTTAAAATGTAAATTTATGGGTTTAATTGCATAATTTAAAATAGCAAATTAGGAGTGTTGCAATTATGTATATTGGGGGTAACATTCTTTATTTCGCAATGAAAGTTTATAATTTAAATCATGTCTTCATGAATTCTAAAATATTTTAAATTATGCAATTAATCCCATAAATTTACATTTTTGAAAGAAATAATATATGACAATGGTGCGAAAATAAATTTTTGTATAAAGTTTGGGATATTTAAATTACATATGCAAGTTTGGGGTGTTTATCTCACACCCCTTCAAAGTTTGGGGTATATTTAATATTTTTCCCAAAGTAATGAAAAGAACCTGAACAGTCGCGTGAACCTGCAGTACCTCGCATAAAAACTATTCAATTTTCTATTACAAGTTTAGGACTATTACCACTATGTTGGTTTAGGCCTAAACTACCTATCAGGTACACCATAGACCAGGCTTTAGCACACATTCTCTAAGTCTGGTGTATAATTTAACCAGTCACTGGTCACCATTGAAGACAACAATTATAACTATTTTGTTTTTAATATATCTACACTATGAATTTACAAGCATGTGACAACGCCCCTATTTGGAAGCTATATCAACTTATTCTGCTTATCAGTAATGTAATCTGAATAAATGACTTTTGACTTGCTTCTTTGCTGAAATAGCTGTTACCAAACGCTTTTCCTTTCAAAAAATATGCAGCTATTTGAGCCAAATAACTCTTGCCAGATGGGCTTTATGTTGGTATTATAGCCAGTATTTGGTTTCTTACCATCCCCATGCACTTCTCTATTTCAGCATAAAGTGGTAAGTTCTGAGATGATCTAGGCTGCAAGCTTGCAACCGCAGAGTCCAGTATTTTTGCAACATCAGCTGGAGGAAATTGTCTTTCTGTACACTTCTGTCATTTATCAAAAACCATGCAACGTTACACATCTGTAATTTAGAAGTTTATTACACATTGAAAAACCAGACAATTTTGTTGTTAACATTAGCTGTTTGAATTAATCTTCGATGTTCGATTGATGATCAACTCCACCCTCCCCACTAATATTTAGTTAGTATCAAACGTTAAAAAAATATTGAACAAAAAGTTCTGTGAAAACGCAAAATCTAAGTCAAATATTGATATATAAATCTTAGATTAATAAAGTAAGAAAATTTGGAGGGAAGGAGTAGTAATGAGCACTTTGTATGTAGAAGCCTTTCAAAAGACATTTCTCAAAAAACTTCAGATGTGAGCTTTATGGAAATGAATTTCCCATTACATTTAGCTCATTTAATAGGTCCATTACCAAGCACTAATCTTCTCTGTTTGATTTCACGTTAAAAACACTAAAAACCTCCAAGAGGCGCCTTTATCAAATAGTGGTAGATCTAGGCCACCTTTCCCTTGCAGGAGGCGCTTCAACATCAGATTGTAATGATCTTATCTGGGTCCTTTAAGTGAGATTTCACTGTTCTTAAAGTTACTTCTCATAAAAACCTGACATAATTAAATGCCAGACCTCAAGATTTACCTGAATCATTAGGAGAGTACCAACACATTGGGTAATAAGTTCTGAAGGGAAGTCAGTCTCGTTTGCATGCATAGTGTTGTTCAGTTTGCAATCAGGTGCCTATGAACAGGTTAGAGATCAACACCGAGGGCATAAATGTTCATCAAATAAACCAAAGGAAAAAATAATGTTACCGTAAGCAAGCATGCTTCATCAGTGGGTATCCGATCATTGAGATAATCCATAGCTTCTTCAAACATCCCTTTACTGTTCTCCACGCCATTAAATGATGACATTGCCTAACCAATAAGATATGACTGGCTTGTAAGGATTGCTGCCCGTGGAATGACAGCTTAAACAAAGGTGTATTTCAAAATAATATGCTCCCTCCATCACAAAAAAAGTCTTGTTTCAATCGCTTTTGTCACAAACAAAAGTTGATCAAATGAAGTTGATTTTTTGTCATTTGTGATAAATAGCCAAAAGAAAAATAGTAGACAGGCCTCATACGAAAGCATTGGTTAGAAACCAACAAAAAAGGGAAAACTAATTTATATACCCAAAACTTTGAAGGGGTGAGGTAAGTACCCCATACTTGCATATGTAATATATATACCCCGAACTTTAAATAAAAAGTTATATTAGCAACATGAACATATTTTTTCTTTCACAAATATAAATTTACGATGTCAGTACATAATTTAAAATACTCTGAGCATTTATGAGGGTACAGTTAACATTTTAACCTTTCAACTGTGAATTAAATAATAGTTTGTATTACATCGAGTCTATGTAGTTGCAACACTTTTAATTGATATATTCCAATATACGACTTTCACCATTAACATATTTAATTGACTAGTAGTAAAAAAATATAATCGGAGACAACAATAATAATCAAGCCTTAATTCCAAAAGAATTTGGAGTCAGCTAACATGAATTGACATATGAAAACGGAGCTAAAAAAGATTTAAAAAAGGTAATAGAAAAAAAGATAAAAAGATAAGATAATTTAAAAAAGAAAGATAATAAGATAAAAAAGATAAGATAAAAATGATAAAAAAGGATAGCATAAAAAATATAAAATGATAAAGAGCATACGAGAGAAAAAAGATAAAAAGGTAGAAAAGTTGAAAGAGAAAAGGGTCAAATAAGCCCTTTTACTATTTCCAAACCATCACTAAAGCCCTAGTACTATAAAAATGTATCATATAAGTACACTTACTTTGAAAAATTGATCAATTTGGCCATTTATTAAGTTTTTGACAAGTAATAGCAGTTTTTTTTAATTTAAAAATGATAAAAAATTGTTAAAATTTGAAGATATGTAGATAAAAATTGTGAAAAAGTTCAGAATGTCAAAGTCAATATTTTTTAAAATTTAAAATTATTGCATATTCTACATCTATTTAAAAGGTTGTTACATTTTATATTTTCTATATTTTACATTTTCACTTATTTCCTTAAGTTAACTGACTTTTTACTTTTTTATTTTCATTTTTTTGAATTATTTATCTATTTTATATTATTATAACATTATTTTTCAAATTTAAATGAATTTTCACAAGATTTGTCAATACTCCTAATTATTATTTCTTTAAATAACCTGTCATACCAGGTCAAAATGGCTTGATTGATTCTATTTAAAAAGTAAGCGTACTTATAGTACTTATATGATGTATTCTTTAGTAGAAGCACTTAAATGATGGATCGGAAATAGTTGAAGAGTCTATTTGACCGTTTTCCCAAAGTTGAAATGCGATCAATCCTCCACCCGAATATTTTGCCTCCACTTCTCTCACCCCAAAGTCATACTCTCATTCAAACAAAGAAGTAGCATATCACTTCTGGCTCCTCTAATCCATGTTTATTTGGGTCTTCATCTCCATCACCTCTCAATCTCTTCTCCCCACCTCTCAACTCGTCTAACAGGTGCATCATTTGGTCTTCTACACACATGACCGAACCACCGAGACTCTCGCATCTTATCTTCAACAGGTGTTATTCCACTTTTTGTTCAATTGTCTCATTCCTCAAGTTGTCTTTTTTAGTATGTCCACAAATTCAACCCAACAGGTGCATCTTAACCACACTCTTTTGAATGTGGCATTATTTCACCGTCCAACACTCTACACTATATAGTAATGCAAGCCTAATTATTGGCCTATAAAACTACATCAGTCTAGTCAACATACCTCAATAATAGTGTTGAGGTCATGCACCTAAAATATACACATTTTTCCGTTCTTAAATAGTCGAACCACTTTGAGTTTTATACTATTAACATACTTTACTCTAACTTTTACACTATTCGCATGCTCTACTTTAACTGCATTGTATTTATTAATGTATTAAATAATTTTTGTAAATATAATATTATTAAATTTGCCTCCGATTAAAAGTTTGAAATATTATTGTATAAATTTTACTAAAAATCAATTATATGTTAATGATGAAAGTCGTGTGTGGACAAATATCAAAATAAAAGTGTTGAAAGTGCATAGACCAAAAGTAATATTATTTATTTCACACATGGAAGCTTACAATGTTAACTACACGTCATAAATGCTCAGGGTATTTTAAATTATTTACTTAACACCACAAAAAGAAAAAATATATTGTCATGGTGCTAAGATAACTCTTTATATGAGGTTTGAGATGTATATATTACACATGCATGTTTGGGGTACTTATCTCACACCCTTTTAAGTTTGGAGTATTTTAATTATTTTTCACACAAAAAATTGATATATATATATATATATATATATATATATAGAGAGAGAGAGAGAGAGTCCCGTTCGAGTCAGGACATCCTGACTGGAACCCCCGTGCGGACATTGCCGTCAGAAGCCCTTCCCGATGGAATTTTTTGATGAAATTTTTTAAGCATATTTCTCATCAAGTCTAGTTTATGCACACCAAATTGCAGCTCAAGATTCAATCGGGAAGGCAGTTAAATAAATTCTTGAAACATACTGCGCATTATGTACAAATATAAAGCGCAGTATGTTTCAAGAATTTATTTAACTATCTTCCCGATTGAATTTTGAGCTGAAATTTGGTGGGAATAAACTAGACTTCATGAGGAACATGCTCAAAATATTTCATCAAAAAATTGCACTGGGAAGATTCTCTGACGGTGATGTCCGCACGGGGGTTCCGGTCAGGAAGTCCTGACTCGAGCTGCCCTATATATATATATATATATATATATATATATATATATATATATATATATATATATATATATATATATATATATATATATATATATATACACACACACACACACACACACAATATATATATAGACACACACACACACTAGTGTGATTTATAACAGTTGTATCGAACCAAAATAACTTATACACAGGACAAACATGACTTTTAGGGATTCAGGCGTACAACATCCCTATGTACCTGCACAGCGGCATCTACCATAGTTCTGGCTTTTATTTTTGAACTTTCAATAATCTCATTGATATGAGATCCAGGCTCATGGATATGAGTTGTATAGCTGTCAAATATACCACCAGAATCACCAAAACAAGCAACTGGCTTTGGCCAACTAAAAGAAAAATTCCCTTGATATGTGTTCCTCTGTCTCAAACAACACAAAGCAGAAGACACCTGTCATAGATGATCAACTCTTAGGACTTGTTCAGTTGGGAGATTTTGGAGGGGAGGGGAGGGGAAGACTGGGTTTTGTTTACTATATTTTCCTGTGTTAGTTCTTCATGGACATTTGGTAGCAACCATTTTTCGCTTGTCATCCAAAATTTTACCAAACATTTATTTTGAACTGCACGCATTGAATTGGTTAATAATGAAAATGGTAGGTCTAGAGCTGTATTTTTTGGCTGAGATCGTTGAAGCTGATCATTTTAGCTTTTAAATACGGAGTACTTTCTTTGTTTATCTTATCAATAAAAGATTATTTGTATTTTATGCTTTTTCTTAATTTAGCAACTTGAGCAACTTTAGCAATGTCAGCCACAACTTCAGCCACTTTAGCAATTTCAGCAATCCTAAACGGGCTTTTACACCAGGAAAAAGTATATCTTTAGTTAAAAATGTATTTCAATATAATTTTATCTTCCTTTCCTTTCCATCCTTCAAGTGTAAGAACAAAATAAATACTAACCCTCCCCTCCCCTCCGAATTCCCTCAACCAAACACGCGCTTAGTTGCAGTTTACTCTTAAGTGAAGTGAGATGCAGGGCCACATACCTGCTCATTTACTTCATTTAACTGAACGATTATAGCAGCATATTGCTTTCGGAAAGGGTCCGAGTCCTTGAGAGTGCAGTCACCACTCTGTTGATTTTCCAAAACATCGTCATTCATGCGCCTCAACTCAGAAATCACGGCATCCTGAATGTTTAAGTAAAGCTCATTTTAAGTAAATCATATCAATATATGACAAATGTGAACCTTTTTTATGCGTGTCTGTATCAACTACACAAAGTTGATATGGATGCAGTAGATGGAAAGAGTGTAAAACCTTTTTGTTAAGAGCACGAATCAGCTTAGCCAGAGCTTGCACATCAGCTTCTTTTGCTTGGCTTTGTGCAATTGTACTGGGTTTAGAATATACCGTCTGCTGAACAGTATCACTAGGCACAATTTTAGCATGTCTGTCAGAAATCTCTGCACCCACCTGGTATAGAGGTTTGTTTAACTGATCACACTAGTTCCTTCCTTCAACAATCCACAGTTCTTAATAACAACTCACTTTGAAGCAAAACTAGTCAGTCAAACACAACAAATGCTCTCTTTACAATAATACAAAGGGTCTTTGCACCCCCCGTGATTTACCCTAACATTTGACTTTGCAACCCATGTTTTATCCTTTAAACTTGAACCCAGAGTGTTCAAGAGTGGGTCATTGCTATTAGACTTTGCATCCCCACTCTTGGGCACTCTAGATATGGATGTTAAAAAGAACAATAGGTGCAAACTCAAACCATGAGGTGACCAACTTTCCCTGACATATAATTTTTCTTTCCAACTTTTTGGGGGAGTGAAGAATGAAAGGGGAAATACGATCTCACTGTTGAACCCAAGACCAAAGCCTTGTTAAGGAGTGTTTTCATCACTGAAAACCCCTTACTCTCACACTAATACAAATGAAGTGTTTAGGGAAATATTTTCTCTATTTAGCAGAATCCGATCGAATAGGGCAAACTAATGTCAGTAACTTTTGAACCAAACGAAATGCCACCAACCTGTTTTTGCAATAATAGGGTATCTTGCGCATCGAATGATGAAGGCAAACACTCGCCATTCTCCATATTACCACCCGATGCCAGTTTCACATTGTCATTTGATTGCTCATTAACCTTGATCTCATTGATGTTCTCAAGTAACTTGTCCAGAGAATGTCTATTCCTACTAAGCAGCGCAGGCATGTTATCATTTGGATTGAGAGGCATGCAATCAATATCCTGTCAAAGCATGAAGAATCTCAACAAAAAGTGCATAGGTACTTTAAGAAAACAGTGAAATATTCTAGTCTACAAGTATATAAAGACTACTGCATAGAAAATAATAAGCAACTCAAAGTTATAACGAAGGGACTAATGGGTGAGTGTTATGTAGCTTATATGGCTTAATCTCTAGAATTTTCTGAAAGTGTTTGATTAAATCAGTCTAAATAAATGAGTAAAAATCTCAACTTATTCTGCTCAGTTGATGACCAAGTAGCACGGAAACGCAAAACAGGAAATGGGAAACACGAGAAACAAGATTTTTAAACTTATAGGATACTAGGCTTGGGGGATACGTGTAAGTATTGAAAAATATAAGGATATAACTATATATACACATGTTTTTCATTTATATATATGCACACAATCTTTTTCATATAAGTATATAACTAGTTTAATAAGCCAATAATAAATACATTCTACATGTTCAAATTTAATACTCCCTCCGTCCCATTGGACTTTGCCAACTTTTCCTTTTTTGTTGTCCCAAAAAACTTTGACACTTTCCAATTAAAGCAACTAATTAGTGATTCTGCTCATTTTTCTCTCATATGCACAAACCTCAACCACTGAGCTTTTAATTTCCATCATTTGAAATAGAGCCAAAGACTCGTTATTTTTTGGCTTGGGAATATGATGGAATAAAGCAAAATGGCTTATTAAACTGTGTGCGCTTCTTTGTTATGAAGCAGCGGTCAATCCATGCAATTTTGGACGCGATTTTCACTATGGGTCATCCGGAAACAAGTCTCTCTATGCTTTAGTACAAGGGTAAGACTGCGTACATCCGACCCCCCCTTAACCCACCGAAGGTGTGGGAGCTTTTGTGACACTGGGGTAATGATGATGATGATGATTTCTCACCTACTTTGAAATTGGCGAAGTCCATTGGAACGGAGGTAATAATCATTAAACATTGCTACATAATTAATCATAAAATGCACCACATTTCTAGCAATACATTATGTTATGAAATACCATAAAAAACCACTATATATTTTAAAAAATACACTATATTCCATCGCAGAATCCCATTAAAAAGAAAAATTAGAAACCCAAAGTTTCCGAAATGCTAAACATTTAGGGAAACGGGTTTCACAGTTCTTCTTAATCACAGAAACAGCCCCGCAATGGGGATTTGAAGCTTCTGAGTTACTGACACGCTTCCGAGTTTCCGAAATGGGGAAACGTGGTCCTTGGAAAGTTTCCATGCTTCATAGACAAATAAGGCACTTTTGGCTACGGAGAAGCAGAACAATGCCTTTTTAGCTACCAAGAGGCAGACTAAGCCACTTTTGGCTACCAAGAAGCACAAAAAGTCGTTTTTTCCTACTAAATGGGCTCCGAATCTATTTTAGGTTAACAAGTGGATGAGCAGTATAGAACAAATTCCCAATAACACAATTCCCTCGGCCTCTCCTACCCCTCAGTTTGGTTTAGTATGGACCCTGCTCATGTTGCTATTCATCAACTGATATTACATTATTACATGGAACTAATATTCACTGTAAACAATGAACATGGGATTATGAGAATGAAGAAATATAGTTCAGAAGTAATTAAGCGTTACACTGTAGAAAGTGCATTCAAGTTGCGATGAATATTAAAAAAGGTGAAGAAAAACTTTTATGGGGCAAACTAAGAAGCACAGAAACTTGCCACAGCTCATGTTCCCCATATTGAAAACTTGTCAGAAACTCGGGAACTTGAAATTATCGTTTCGATGCCTTTTCTGTAACTAAAAAGAATTGGGAAATCCATTCCTTAATTAGCGAGTGATTCAGAAACTTTGAGGTGAAATCCATTTCACCGGCACACTTTTGTATTTGATGGGATATCTTGACGGAACAGAGTGCTTTTTTTTTTACTTTTCAGTGGACTTTATGGAATTTTCCTCATTGCAACATGGTCTTTGTGATATTTCATAATGCAATGCATTGCTCGAAATGTATTGCATTTTTAATATTTATGTGTTTCCCCCACGTCTCATATAGTCATATCGTATACTTATTTTTTTAAATGTTGTTTCCAGCGTTTTGTTTTTCCCGTTTCACATTTCATGTTACTTATTTTTGTGCTACTTAGGGCTCAAACAATGCTTCAAGAGTTGAATCGTGAAGTAGGTCCTTTGCCTTTATATCTTTTTTAATTATTTCCTATCCCTATGACTTGTATATACCTGCAGAGACAATGAATGTGTTTGCGGAATCCAGATTAGAAATACCAGAATTTTTTTAAATATTGTTTCTATACATATAGAACAAATGTACTCCAGATTCAAGTTTGTAACACATCAAAGAACAACATTTTAAGTATAATTATGATGACTCACTAAAATGAAGTAGATACACTGAATAATTGCTTTATAGAATATAGAAACACTAGTAAATGCACTTCTACCACTGCTTTAAGAAAAACAAAATTTTACCCCGTTAAGACGGTGCAAAAAATGGATCCACACCATCATATTAGGTATAAGTTAAGAAACCTACTCAGTTTGAATATGAAATATTAATTACCCCCACCTTACTCATGGGGACACATTCAGCGAGACTGATGGATGTCATTGGGCAGTTTGCAGTGGCGATGGCACATTTATGGCATCGCCACATTACACAAAAAATATGAACTATAGACAATATAGTTCTAGATTAAACCACCAATAAGAGTTAAATAACCAAATTCCCCAAAAAAAACATAGGCGAGTCAAAATAGTACCAAAAATAATCCTAATCAAACACAATTTAATTCACTTAATAACCAAAAAGGTTCACATCTTCCAAAAAATGTGAATTTATAATTCGATCTTTATGATTTAGGCATTACCATTCATTACACTCCTCGTTCTCAGCCCCCTCTAGTGGTCACTTCGTCGACACACAGCCTCTGTAATGACTGTTAGGCTGCATGCACATTTTCTGCGTACCTTGTAGCCTGGTAGCCGTTAGCCCGTTAGTTATGTTTGGCTTGGTTGAGTAATAAGCTTTTTTAAATTCCATATTGTCGCTTAAGTCCTAACTGACCAATTATTAATTAGGGTCAAGGCCCTAATTAATATGGGCCTATTTGTTTAAATTAAAGATGTTCAAAATATGGGCCAATTAGTGGCGTAAATGGAGATGGTGATGGCACAGAAATGGTGCTGTCACAGGTATTATGGACGCCAGGGATTGCTTTGGTGGTGATGGTGTTAAATGGTGATCGTAATTTGCGCCATTCACTATGTTTAAGGCTTGCTTAATTATTTTGATAATATCGAATAATAAGTTTCAACATATTGTTTAGCAATTCAAACACAGATTCTAACATAGAGCAAAAGGGCTTTAGTGAGGTTTGCCTCAGTGTGAGGCAGTGAAAAAAGCACCGAGGCTTAAGCCTCAAATATTGAGGGGTTTGTGAGGCTTAAGCCTTGAGGTGTTTTGTGAGGCTTAAGCGTCATGTTTTTAATCAATTTTGAGTTTATTCTTAAGTTGATTATTTTTAAATAAAATTTCGAGGGGGGAAATAACATGACTTTATTAATCTTTTCTTTATATTCAAATTGTTAGTTTAACCATTTTTATTTTATTTAGGACAACGAATCTTACAGTTTCTTTAAATATAATTAAGTTATGATAGTGGTCTATGTCACTTATTAATGATTCATTTTTATATATCACTGTTAATATATATTCACCATAAAGTTTGACGCTTACGCTTCAAAATCCTCGAGTTTCTTGCCTTGCTTCATAATTGCAAATCACCTCAAGGCTTAAAAGCGCCTGCTGAAAGATTGACACAAGCTACAGTATATTCTAAAATAATCAGACTACTACTACCTTGACAATTTCCACTCCAAGCTCAGGCCGGTCAAACTGAACCCGGCACCTAGAATGATCAACTGTTAGCACACTTCCATCATGAAGTTCTCTTGTTTTAGAGTGTATGGCAATGACACGTTGTCCAACAGATATTGGCCTTGCAAGATCAGTCGGTAATCCTACCCTAGTACCCTCACGTACTTCAGTGTAATGCATTCTAACAAACTCACGGTATTGATTAAGCTTCTCCTTTTCCTCCTTCAAAAACTGTTCAGAAAATCTCCGTGGTTTACCAAGAGAGCTGCAAGGGCATGTAAAGCTTAAAGTAATCCACCATACAATACAGCTTATAGTTTGAATCTTTGCAGTGAACTACAAATACCTTCTTATCACATCCCATTCAACACGAGTTAGCCTGGGAACATGTCCTAATCCAACATGATACAAGTATTCCACAAACTCCCTTTTAGCAAACCAAGGATAATCAATTGCATTGTAGAACCATTCATACTTACACCACTGTCGCACACAATGTTTGGAAAGGCAATTAGAAAGCTTGTTCTGCATGCCATGTTGAACAGAAACAACTCAAAGTTAAAACAACAAGTACACAGATCATATGTCAAAGTAACAGCTGCATAAAAGACAATGATTCGGCACACCTTAACATTGAACACTTTGTTATCCAATACACCGTCAGGATAAGTCAGATCTTTGTCTTTTTGTGCCTTCTTGAGCCCCACCTTACGCCTACTTCTAATCTTACTGTGCAATGTACCCTGGTTTGCTAGAGGGACTTCTGCGATTGATTGAGCTGAATCACTTCCATCTACTTTTAGATCTGCACTTGATGAATGATCTAGAGTCTTTATCAATTTAGGTGATGAAATCTGTAAAGATCTTTTACCCTTGCTGATTGGCTTCTTCAGTGCATCTTTTGTCTGTAAGAAAAGGAATGGTAGAGTACAATAAAACTTCTATATAAGAGATGGTTATTCGAATGTATTAGAGAGACATCTATATTCAACACTACAGTAAAACCTGTATGAATTCATAATATTTATTAATTTAGAGTGTTTTTGGATTCAGTGAATGTACAGTTAAATATGTAAAAACAAATAGCCTTGAGTTCAATGTTAACCATTGCATCCACTAATTAAATAAAGATCACCTTGAAGTGAGTACAAGTCACTTGCATCTTGGTATGGGTTCATTGTAAAAGAACTAAATGTTTTCAATGTATGATAATGAAAAGGTTCACTGCATAAACAACTTGCGATTAATAAAACATGCACAAAAAATGGCTTCTTTTCTAAAAAGAAACCAAAAAATCAACCATGACACATGAATAAGTAAAGCAATATGTGAGGATAGAAGACATTTTACCAAATGCACTAAAAAAAGAAAATATCTTGCTTGGTGGAAATTTGTAAAAAAACATGGAGGGAATAAAAGTTTACTTATTTGTCCTGATTATGCTTGTAATTGTTGGAGAAGTATTAATTTATGGTATTCACAGGATCACAAAATGTATAAGGGTATTTCAAAAATATACTCCCTCCGTCCCTATTTAATCTCCCCACTCCAAAATGCACACATATTAAGAAATTGAAACTGTTTGGACACTATTTGACATTGTTTTGTTTACCAAATAAGGAAATGAGATTTTTTAATAGACGTCCAAAAAAGGAAAGTGTGAAGATTAAATAGGGACGAAGGAAGTAAGTAATACAACTAGGGGTAGGACTTTGGAACCAAGAACCGCAAAATCGAACTGTTAGGGACCGGACACTACCAATAATTAGAGCCTTATTAAGTAATTTTAATTTTGTTCAATAATAGGGTTTAGGCCTTATAACTAAATAGAAGTGGGCTGGCCCATTAGAAATAGAATAAATAAGTGTGAGTGGTGAGTAGATGAGCAGGCAGAATTTTGGGATCGGGACTGGGAATTTGGGAGTGTGAGACCACTCGAAGAGTCTCAACCTTTTCTTTCGTTATTTTCTGTATTCCATCAATCAATCTTCATTAATATACTAAGATTATCTACTGGGATTCTTCCGTTACCTATCATGAAACGGACCGAACCGTTATGACCCGGTTCGGTTCCAACATTAATTAGTTATTTATTAACGGTTTGGTTCCTTTTTTAATAACAGTTCGGTTCTCGGTTCCTATAAAAAATATGTATGTGGAACCGTTAATGAACCACTTATAATAATTAAGTTTTTATCTATTACTTATTAGTATATACTCCGTATATTTTAATATTTATTTATATATTAAATTCACTAATTTTGTTTAATTAATAGAGTTGATAACTTGATAAGTATTTAACCGATTCCTATGATAGTGAATGTCTTTTTTTGTTTGCTTTACTAAATTTTATGATTAATTATGTACTTATGTTTGAACCATAGCTTTTGATGTTTGAAATGATGGTAACCTTGAACATATTTGTATTTCTTATAATTTCAGACGTTGAATGTCTTTATGTGGCACAAATTTAGCAGTGATTTGTAGGAGATTTTAAAAAAATAGGAACCGAAAAATGACTAGAACTGACCCGTTAAGGTTCGGTTCGGTTCCATATAGGTTCTACAAATAATTTATAAGAACCGAAACGATATTAAAAGATGAGATCTTTTAAATGGTTCCACGTGTTTTGCCTAAGAACCGAACTGGTCCCGGGCCTAAATAAAACTCTATATCTCATAAATATTAATTATCAACTCGGACCCGAGAAAAAAATCAGAGATCAAGTATCAGACGGTAAAACTTTTGCTGTGTATGGCATACATTTCTGTACAAAAGGAAAATATATATGGAGTGCTCCATTTTGTCTTTAAACAAGAGTCAACAAAACTCCATTCTCCTCAAACTATATAACAGTACAACTCAATTCTCTTCAAACGTTAATAAAAAGAGATCTGATTTGGCATCACACGTCATTCTCAGAATAACAGATTGATCCAATATAACTCATTTGGTTCTTTATGTTCACAATTGAAGCCTAACACTCTCTTTTGTCTTTATCCCATATTAGATTTCTTAACTTCATTCTTTGATCAATCCCAAAAACAATGTCCATTTTCATTGCAATAGCAACGGCTTATAATGAAACTCATAAATCATATATTATGTATCATTGAAGCAGGAAGCTGCGTGATAATTAAATCCTAATATTTCAAATTTTCAATGTGATCAGCTTTTAAGATTTTAAAATACAAAAAGTGATCAGCTAATGATTAAAAGTCAACTAAAGCAAAGACGGCTTACCTCAACTTCTTGAGGTTCAGAAAGATCATTACTGAGATGTCCTTCACCTTTCTGTGCCTGAATGGAAGACCCAAAATATTTACTTGTTCCAATATTGATTACATGGGACAGGAATATAATCAGCTTACCGTAGATGTTGGTATCTTCTGCGCTTTTCTTGTGTGTTTTGTTTCAGGAACAGCACTTGCATCAACTGAAGCTTTGCCATGCTTTCGCATTACACTAGATGCAATTTGAGGTCCTGAAATGGGTTGGTTGGATTTGGATTTAATCCCAGATGAGCCACGTTTCTCCTTTTGTTGGTTTGTAGGCAGAGCTTCCGAGGTCCCAGATTCATCAATTTGATCATTTTCATCTTTGGTGTGCATCATTAATGCTGAGAAAAAGAAAGTAAGGCGTGGGGTGGGGATGGGGGGGTAAACACCGAGTGCCAACAACAAACAACAACAACATTACCCCAGTGCCGCAAAGGCTCCCACCTATGATTGGGTGGGGGGGTCGGATGTACGCAGTCTAACCCCTGTGCTAAAGCACAGAGAGACTGTTTCCGGATGACCCATGGTGAAAATCATGTCGAAAATTGCATGGACTGATTGTTGTTTCATAACAAAGAAGTACAGCTTGTTTATTGAGCCATTTTGTTTTGAGTGCCGAGAGGATGGGGTAAAACTGTTACAGATGCACCATACAAGTTAAATGATGGGAATGCTACTGAATTAAAACAACAACAAAAACAATTACGCATAGTGTGAAACTGCAATGCTACTGAATTAAAACAAAAACAAAAACAATTACGCAAAGTGTGAACTGCATTGTTGAGAAAAGAGTTTTGTTGGAGGGCTAGAATCAATGGCTCAAATACTTCATGAAGAATTCATAGATTATACAGGAGTAACACGATTCAATAACCGGGGCTACAAAAATGAGTTTTTCAATATGCATCATCTTATCATCCTTCTGGCGAAACTGATGCACCTTGCATTTAGTAATTAAAGTTGGTTTATTCTAGCAGAAGATATCACACAGCTCCCAAAACTTGTAGCTTTCTGGAGACAGTATAACTCTCTAATTACAGAAAGGTTGCTTATAGTGCTTGAACCTATTACTTATAATATGGTTAAGTGGTTAACAGCTTAGTAAATTACATTTATCACTAAGAAACATATTCCACAACTGGAAAATGCAGTCATTTAAAAAACAAACAATGCAGGCATCAATATCCATGAAGTCTAAAGATAAGGTTGTCAAAATAGAAGCTTGCAGTGAAAGAGAAGAAGACAAATATCTCAAGTCACAGCCTTCATACAGAACGTGGAAACTAAAAAGGAAGTGATGATCATCCTTACCATTCTCATTTTCTGTTGTCGGCATCATCAATGATAGAGCTGCCAAAGTTTGTAGAGCATCAAAGGCAGAGCTTTCATCTATGAAGAAAAACTACAAGTTAGCTGTGGCAAAAATTATTTAAATACCTATAACATCATACACTCCCCAAATTTTGTGTACATGATTTCCTTTTTCCAAGATCTTTTTTTAGAGAAGAGATGGAGTACATCATGTAATGTAAAAAATTATAACACTGCAAAAAATTAATATGACACTCTTTACTGCCACTTTTTAGATGAAGCACAAATTACTATGTGGTATTAATTACCGTACAAGGAGCTGCTTTTGAGCATTTCTTTTGATATATACTTGGCATCATTTATATAAATAACTACTCTCTTGTACTCCGGAAACAAATTTGGAATATATTGTTGATTTAGGAAGAGAAGCTTTTTGTATTACACTTTTGAGATCATACATCATGACTCCCATATATATAGGGAAGTAAATGATACATTAAAGGACAAAAGAAAACTGAAAGTTATAAAGGAAAATGAAAAGTTAAGCTGCTGGAAAGTCTGGAATATAAAAAGGCATATGCTTTAAATGCTATTTCCAACACTCCCCCTCAAGCTGGAGCATATATATCATGGGCTCCAAGCTTGCTACATATATAATCTATTCTTGGTCTTCTAAGAGACTTAGTGAGCACATCTGCCAATTGATCCTTTGAATTCACAAAAGTAGTGATGATGTCTCCAGATATGATCTTGTCTCTAACGAAATGACAGTCTACTTTTATATGTTTGGTTCTTTCATGAAAAACTGGATTCGTTGCAATGTGTAGGGCTGCTTGGTTATCACATATCAACCTCATGGGTCTGAATTTGCAGAAATTGAGTTCGGAAAGAAGATTCATAACCCAAATTAGCTCACATGATCCAAGAGCCATCGCACGATATTCGGCTTCTGCACTTGATCGTGCCACCACTTCTTGTTTCTTACTTTTCCAAGAAATCAAGTTTCCACCCAAAAGTATACAATAACTTGTGGTGGATCTTCGATCCCATGGGCACCCAGCCCAATCTGCGTCAGTATAGCCCACAATTTATGTGTGTCCGTGATTCTGGAATAACAACCCTGTACCTAGTGCTTGTTTAATGTATCTTAAGATGCGAGTAACAGCATTCCAGTGGCTCTCACACGGTGATTGTAAAAACTGACTTGCAACACTTACAGCAAATGAGATGTCAGGACGTGTAATAGTGAGGTAAAGAAGTTTTCCGAGAAGTCTTCTATTCTATATCTACCAGGATTTGATAAAGGCTCTCCCTGTCCCGATAGAAGCTTGTCATTAGGATCCATCGGCGTATCAATTGGCTTACAGTTTGTCATACCAGCTTCTTCAAGAATGTCTAAAGCATACTTTCTTTGTGATATGTACACACCTTGTTTTGACTGTGCAACTTCAATACCTAGAAAGTATCTCAATTTGCCTAGATCTTTTGTTTCAAAATGCTGAAATAAATGCTTCTTAAGAAGTTTTATTCCCTCTACGTCATCACCCGTGATCACAATATCATCCACGTAAACCACAAGATAGATATTAAGACCTTTTTGGATTCTGTAAAATACATAATGGTCAACTTTACTTTGAATCATGTTAATTTTTGTACTACTTCACTGAACCGTCCAAACCAAGCACGTGGGGACTGCTTCAACCCATACAATGAGCGTTTGAGGCGGCAAACTAGATCAGCTCCCCCAGAAGCAATGAATCCCGGAGGTTGTTCCATATAAACCTCCTCCTTTAGATTTCCATGCAGGAATGCATTTTTTTATATCCAATTGATGTAACGGCCATTGTCGTATTGATGAAATAGCCAGTAAAGTGCGAACTGATGCTATTTTTGCAACAAGGGAGAATGTATCAGTATAGCCGATTCCAAACACTTGTGTGTATCCTTTGGCTACAAGCCTGGCTTTTAGCCGGTCTATCATGCCATTAGAACCAACCTTGACTATGTATAACCATCTGCAGCAGACCACAGGTTTATTTGGTGGTAGAGGCACAAGTTCCCATGTCCCTGACGAGTGAAGGGCTTCCATTTCATCAAGCATGGCCTTTTTCCAACATGGATGACTCAATGCTTCCTTGACACTTTTAGGAACATAAACAGAAGAGAGACGTGTAATAAAGGCACAATATGATGGTGACAAATGATTGTATGAGAGGAAGTTATATATAGGATAAGGATTTCGAGTGGATCTTTTACCAATTATGCTGGCAATAGGAAGATCATTACTTATCTCTTGGACTGACTTTGAGGTGACAATGGCTCAACACATAAATCACTTGGATTACTATCTTCTTTTTCTGTTGGATGATGGTAAGGCTTACTCGAACGATGTCGACGGTGATAGGTATAAGGGAACTCAATAATATGGTTCTCTGGAATGTCACTGGGAGTTCCTTTTTCAGGGATGGTCAGGGATGTAGGTTCAGGTTTAGGAAAGTATGGGACAGGCAGAACGAGTTCATGTTCTTTGAAAGGCTGTATAGGGACAATTTCTGTAGACTCATTAGTAAAGAATGAGAGAAATATGGAGTAGACTCAAAGAAAGTGACATCAAAAGATGTATACATACGCTTTGAAGACAAGAGTATCCCAAGAACACACACTTGATAGCTTTAGGGGAGATTTTATCCCTTCCCGGAGTGATATCACGAACAAAGCAAGTGCACCCAACACCTTTAAAGGTAATTTGTGCAAAGATTCATCAAGGAACAAAACATTGTAAGGCGTCTTTCCTTGTAGTATATCAGAAGGCATGCGGTTTATGAGAAAACAAGAGTGAAGAATGGCTTCCCCCCAAAGGTATTTAGGTACCTTGTAATGAATAAGCATGGTTCGGGCAGTTTCCACTAGGTGTCGATTCTTCCGTTCAGCCACTCCATTTTGTTGAGGAGTGTCTGGACAGGAAGATTCATGAAAGACCCCATGACTATCCAGAAATTTAGAGAAGGATTCGGAAAAATACTCCTTGGCATTGTCACTATGAATGGTTTTTATCACCACCCCAAACTGAGTTTTTATTTCATTGACAAATTTTTGAGATATACTGAAAAGTTCAGACCGATCTTTCATTAAATAGATCCAAGTACAACGAGAAAAGTCATCAATAAATGTAACAAAGTACTGAAGTCCAAAGATAGACTTAACTCGACTCGGTCCCCATACATCAGTATGAATTAGAGAAAAGGGAGCAACTGCTCGTTTATTTATCCTATTTTTGTAGGAAGCTTTCGATTGCTTTCCTAACTGACATGACTCACACTCGATTGATGAAACATTAGACATTATAGGAACAAGTTGACGAAGCTTATTTAGGCTAGGATGACCAAATCGACTATGAAGAAGCAATTGTGTAGAAGTGGTGGCAGTGCGAACAATATTGTTGTTTGCTAAATGATATAACCCTTGTGATTCATATCCTGTGCCAATCATCTTCCTCAATTGTCGGTCCTGCACAGTCACAGATTTAGTGGAAAATATAATTTCACAATTAAGATGTAAAGTGAGTTTATGGACAGAGATCAAGTTGGAGGGGCAATTAGGAATAAACAATACAGAGGATAATGAGAGAGAAGGGAGTGGAGAGGCATTTCCAATTCCTATAACTTTACCTCTATTGACCCATCACCAAAGGAAACAGATGGAAGAGAATTGGAAAATGTCAAGCATGTAAAAAGTGAAGGATTACCAGAAATGTGATCGGTAGCACCTGAGTCAAAAATCCAAACAGGATGGGACAGAGAGGCCAAGGAAACATGAGTTTTGTCAGATGTAATTGAGCTTCGAGCAGCCTTTAACTGCTGGAATTCTTCATACTCAGACTGTGAGAGAACATGGGAACATTTAGCTTCCTTATTGACTTCAGCTACATTGACCGTGCTTGGTTTCCCACGTAGGTTCCAACATTGATCACGTGTGTGTCCTGGCTTGTTGCAATAATCACAAAAACATTGCATACCTCTGCCACGGCCTCCTCCTCTTCCGTGAAGAATGTCTCTTCCTCTACCTCGACCACCCCGAGAGTGAGAAACAAAGGCAGAGTTATTAGCATTGTTGTCTTCTGTGACTGAGGTCCCTCGAAGTAGCCTAGTAAAAACTTCAGTAATGTTCGGAACATATTTCTCGCTCAAGATCTGGCGTTGAACCTCTTCAAAACCTGCTCCTAGTTTGGAGAGTGTCAAGACTACCCAGAATCTTTCCCTTTGAGCTTGCTGTCTTTCAATGGATTCTTCCATTGGCATAAGCGTATTAAATTATGTCATTAAGCCTTGAACTTTCCCTAAGAAAGTTTCCATTGACATCCCAGATTTTGTTATTTTTAAAATTTCATCAACAACTGAATAAAAGCGAGATATGTCATTTGTATAGAGAGACTTGGCTTGCTTCCAGACAGAAATACACGTCCTGAAAGGGCAGAACATTGGAACGATTTTTGGTGAGAGAGACTGCCATAAGATGCTGCAAAGTTGGGCATCAACGCGTTTCCAGACTTCTCTTTGATACTCAATTGAATCAGCTTCTGTGACCAAATGGTCATCCACTCCTTGTCCGATGAACCACAGTTCCACAACACATGCCCAATCTTGATAATTTTGTGATCCAATAAGTTTATTATTGGTAATAGTAGGGTTTCCAGAAAGATTTGGGACGTAAACGGGAAAAGGAGTTTCTTCACTACTGCTTGTTACGACCATGATGAAAAAAATTAAAATTACTGAAATTATTCTCCGCCGGAATTCGCTGGAGAGGGACGAACACCTTGAAGATTGATTCACCAGAAAATATGCTCAAAGTCCCCTCCACGTGCAGAAGGAATTTCAGACCATACCCAGGGCTCTCATACCATGTTGATTTAGGAAGAGAAGCTTTTTGTATTACACTTTTCAGATCATACATCATGACTCCCATTATTAGGGAAGTAAATGATACATTAAAGGACAAAAGAAAACTGAAAGTCATAAAGGAAAATGAAAAGTTAAGCTGCTGGAAAGTCTGGAATATAAAAAGGCATATGCTTTAAATGCTATTTCCAACATATATAAATGCTTCACAGAGAACTGGGGACTAGCATCAACTAGGAAAAAGATTTGCACAGAATTCTCACCACATCAAAACTTAATGTCATGGCCATTTTGCTTGATTAGATTATACATGCCAACTTCTAACCTAATCCCGAGAATAAATATAGTAAAAGACATAAATTATTACTACCTCCGTCCCAAATTGATTTGCAAAATTGACTTTTCTTGGTCAAATAGTTTCATTTTATTCACTTAATTAGGATGTCAACTTTGAAGAGATTTTAATGCAGTTTCTGAATATGTAAATTTTAATTATTAAAAATTGAAGAGATTTTAATGTAGTTTCTGAATATGTAAATTTTAGTTATAAAAAATTGAATTAATTATCGATATGAAGGATTAAACTTTAACATTAGTTAACATCCATGTCATGTTTTGCTCTTACTACAGCTTCTTCTGTACCACTACATGCTTCCTTGATTTCATCATAATGGTCAACATCATTGACATCAATTTGGGACGGAGGAAGTATATGACTATACAGAAGCTTTTATAGGAAAATATAAACTGTCACACCTCTCTGAAAAAGAATCTTTTTGCTCCTCTTTCTTAGACCAAAGGACGAAGCCTTTGAAACTCTTTCACCAGCAACATCCATGTCATGTTTTGCTATTACTACAGCTTCTTCTGTACCACTACATGCTTCCTTGATTTCATCATAATGGTCAACACCATTGACATCAAATTCAGACTTTTTGCCAGAAAGTCTTCTCCTCTTTTGCATTGTTCTGCCAGTTTTCATCAATGAAGTCCTAATCATGTGTAGTTCTCCTGTGTCTGCTTCCATGCTTTCTTCATCTTCATCCATTTCACTACTAAGAATCTTGGAATTGACCGTTTCCAAATTGCACTGCTGTTTAAAAGTCGAATGAATTGTTTCTGAGAATGTACACATAAGAAAGCTAAAGAACATTAGGCAGAAGTTGAATTATTACCCTCTTTTCAGATTTACGTGCAGGAGTGGATAAAGCACTGTCAGCTCGACGGGTAGGTGTCTCAGTAATCTGAGGAGAACCACCTCTTTGTGAAGCTTCAGCTAAAACTATTGCTATTTCATGAGCAACTTCATCATCATCATTCGTGTCAAACTTCCTTTTCAGGTCATGCCTACTTGAATAAAAAGCATTGCTATCATTAACATTTTCATGAGAATATGGTACAGGAAACCGCGGTGTCCTTTTTCCAACAACACGAGGCCGTGTTCCTGAAAGATAATTCCAGAAAATAACATCACCAACAGTATTTTACACCTGAAGATTTAATCCATTGATAATGATGAATCAAAAGGACGCAATCAAGGTGTATGAAACTTGTCCTCAAGCATTCCCATTTAGCCCATGTATATGCCCCTAAAAATAAATAAAAATAATAACAAGAACAACAGCAGTACAGCACCATGAAGTGGCCATAGACCTTATAATTATGTTCTTTCAGAGGTTCTCAAGAGAAAGGAGACACGCACCTCCTGAGCGTTTCTTCTTTAATAATGACAAACAGCCATAATTTGGTGCTGGTGTGGGAGACTGTAAATCAACCCCTTTGGATATGACTGCTTGAACTTTACCTCGAGAACGCTTTTGAGGTTTATGAGATGTTCCTGCGTCCTCATTGCTTTCCTGTTCACTATCACTTCCAGCCTGCCATCCACACCCCAACAACTCAATTGCCACAAGTGAACATTAATGAAGCCTCTTGAAGGATCTGAGTGCTCTAGCTAGAAATTCATCCCAAAAAGGAAAAAATGAAAAGAACTGCCTAATTCTTATTCATGTAACATGTATAAATTACAGTTATGGGAAATATGGTTAAGTCAAAGTTTCAGAAAGACCCCTTTATGATTTGGGGACAACACATAAAATCTTCAATCTTGTTTCATAAACAAATGCAAAGATCTTATCGGTGACGAGTTTATTTTCCTCTAAGAGTTCTGCTGTATTTCTTATTGTTGTTATTACTAATTAATAAAAGGTTATTTGAATGGAGGAATAACAATTTTGTAAATAAAAGAGAAAGGGCAGGTTAGGGGGAAACAAAACATGATTCATCAAATAGAATGATATTCAGTGATACAATATTTGGAACTCCAATTTGTCATGAACTATGTTTATCTCACCAAATTGCAGTAGTGATCAGTCATCATTGCAATCAACCCAACAAGAGAAGCAGTCCCCTCTGGAAGAGATAAGTAAGCCTGAAAGTAAAGAAGTGTGTGGGTTATGAAAACAGTAAAGTAGGGAGGGTTATATCCCTACTCTTTCTTGAGATTTTTTTCCAAAAGTAATGTAAGACTGATTTTTGAGCTGTATGTACAAGTGCACGTTGATTCATTAACCCTTGAAAAATAAACATAGTTGTGATTAATGCTGAAAACAAAATTTCACAGTTCATATTAATCATTGGAGAAACAGCAGTCTGTTAATTTGAATTAAATTTCTTCCAGATAGGTCATAAACTTGAGTTCAGTAAGGCCTAGTCATTTTTACATTAAAATCTGGATATTAGTTCATGCTGTGATGTGTGAGGTTTTATACAAGACAGAGAGTGTAGGTATCTGAATGATTATGAGACCCCTTATTCAGTTCAGGTAATATAATCTGTAAATCTTATAAGGTGTCCCTTTCTCATCTTGATAGACACTCACATGCTACAGTGGTCCTCATCCTGATACCTGCTCACATGCTAGTGACAATATAAAAATATGAAGGTACAACACCCATATGAGAGCAGGAACATATGCCTAAAGCCAGTATCTTTATAATAAGAAGGGCCAGCTTGAATTCATTATATCGGTAAACAGGTATGTCCATATGCACACACAAACACACATAATACACACACATGACACAACACACAAAAGCGCACACTAGTCCAACCAACAGTACATAAATGAGTAATATATATAAAGATATAAAGCAGAAAGGGTCGAATAAATGAGCACTGTTACTTATAACTCCAATATGCTCTCATATCAGGATATCATGTCAAGCCCTTCCTCCGCTACAAAAGCTAGTTTATGAGTGGAGTTTAGGTTTTCACTTAAATGTCACTCCATTCTTAAGGAGCCAATGTGGGACTCATAACATGTCCACACCCATTGGCCGACATCCACGGAGGCCTTCATTAGTTCATTCTATCAGCACTGACCCAGTGGTAGCCCGTTCCTTTTTTGGTGGCTTCACTCATCTATCAGTATTAGGTACAAAACCCTTTCTGGCATGCCGCCTTAAATCCAGCTTATAGGTAGCCCTCTATGGCCATGACTTTCAAAGAAAAGGGGTTTTTTAGGCTCTCCTCAGTGTGTGAGGCGGGGGAAAAAGCCTTGAGGCTTAAGCCTCAATTGTGTGACCAGAGGCTTAAGCCACAGATGATTGAGGCGTTTGAGAGGTTTAAACTTTAAACCTCTAGGCGTTTCATGAGTCTTAAGCCTCGTACTTTACTCTTCCATTCTAAGTTCTTTCATAGGTTGATTTTTTTATAAATTCATACTGCATCTATTACTTTCCAATAATTAGTCACTACTCAAATCAACATTTATCAGCACAGGGTGTGAGATGGTGAAAAATCCTTGAGGCTTAAGCCTCACACAGTTGAGGCTTTTGAGAGGCTTAAGTATCGAGGCGTATTGTGAGGCTTATGCCTCATGTTTGTACTCTCCAATTTTAGATTTTTTTAGGCTGGTTGTTTTGTAATAAAATTCATAATGGATATTCATGGATCGATTCATGTTAGCCGACCCCAAAATTGTTTGGGAATAAGGCTTTGATGTTGTTGTTGTAATTAGTCACTACGACCACCAAAAGCCAAAAATACATTCTCCCAAATTAACAATTTTCATCACACAGTTCTACTTGCACAGTTTGCATAACCAACAAGGTTACAACTACTTTGCACTCCAGCAGAAGTGTGATCATTTCTTAAAAAGGTACTGAGCTACTGTAGCTATTCTTCTCTTCTATCAAGTGGGGTTCAAACAACTCCAGCTATTTTTTTCTTTTTATTTGAAAAATACCAGCAGATGTAACAGAACTTCTTTAAGCTTTTCTATATTTGATTTCTCTAGATAATTAAACTCACTCATTTAACAACTTTTCTGATTTTATTTAAGACGAAAAATCTTAATTACTTTTCTCTAAAGAGTGTAACTTATCATAGGGGTCTATGAAACTTATTTATGACCCATACTTATGTATGATTGATAATACTACGTATGTTTTAGACTGTTAGTGGTTTTGAAATGTTTGAGGTTTATGCCTCAAATCACTTCGATTCTTACGCCTCAAATCACTTTGAGTCTTGCGCCTCAAATCACTTCGAGTCTTACGCCTCAAATCACTTCGAGTCTTACGCCTCAAATCACTTCGAGTCTTACGCCTCAAATCACTTCGAGTCTTACGCCTCGTCTAAAAACTGCCGAATGCATCAAGGCTTAAAGGTTCTTTTTTAAACTTTGCCAATGATATGTTCTAACATCAGGAAACTAAGTCTTGCCCTTACTCTACCCCAGAAGCTAGATCATGAGTGGAGGTTTGGCATTGGCTTAAGTACCTATCCTTCATTTCTGAAGGAGTCAATGTGGGAATCGTAGCAGACTCGCATTTAAAAAGAACAAATAAATTTACCATATTCATAGAGTAAAGTGCCTCCACCATATCAACTGATCGGTTTCTAACAGCAGAAGCTACCTGCAATTCACATAAAAGTATATAACAAACACAGTTGAAGTAATCACATATTGAACACATGGTTTCATCTAAGTGTGAGAAAGAAAAAGGGCAGACCATAACAATGCTGATGAGCAATTCTGTTAATCCTGTTATACGAATTCCTATTCATACTCGCAAAAAGTGAATGTATTTTGGGCCATAGTTTCTCATTTTCGTGCAATGAAACTATAAGGACAAAATTGAAGAACCAAGATTCAGATTGAGATCTTACCTTTTTCCAATCTTTACCGTATCCGCGGTATGCATCATAGAAACGACTCAGCTCTTCCTTACTCCACTGAGGGCCTAGCATAGACAACTTCTTTTTCTGCAATTAAACAAGAAATGAGTACACTAAGATGATTCTGAGGTTAATCAAGTATTTGTGTACCATATATACACACAAATATGTACACATACATACATATATCTACCTATTTACACACACAGACACATACATAATCGACAGTTAAATTTACAGAGCCAATTAATTGTATAAAATCAATTACACGGTAAATTAATGTAAAAAAGCATAGAGGCAATGTTTTACGATACAGAGACCATGGATATTTTTCTCCACTCCGGTCTGTATCTCTAAAAAGGACATTCATAGTGTTGAAGCTCCCACACATTGTGGGGTCTAGAGAAGGGCATAATCTAGACTGCATTTCCCTTGCGTACTCCAAGGACATGGATTCTAACGCTGGACCACCATGACACAAGGGGACACTATACCCGCCCGCATCTCTTTATTCTAAAAAATATGAATGAATCGTAATTTCACTCTGAGTCTAACTGTCCAAGTTATTTAGTTCAATAAAAGCATAAAACTTGGTCAGTTACAAGAGCTGGAAATGGACATAGATGAGGAAAGAATATTTCCAAAAAACATTAATGTATACTGTAGTGGGCATATATAGGAATATAAGATGAATGTCATATGTGTGGGGGAGTAGATCCAAAACTCACCCGTTGACTGTGTCTTTTAGGGGCCTCTCCATCTTTGTTATGGGAGACATCGCTTACATAACAATATTGTTTGTTCACACTCCTAGATTTTCTTGCAGGAGACATAAATTAAATCCTGAAAAACTATATATTGAGAAATCGAAGGTCAATTGCTAGAAATGGATTTAAAATATGCATTTGAAAATAGCAGAAGTGCACACACAGCAAGGAATAACTTGATAAGAACGCCATATATATAATATCTACCTAATTGGCACAAAATATCAAATAGTGGAACCACAACATTCACATGAGCACACCAGAAAGACCTCAGTTTAAGATAATTACCTATTACTTGTGAGTCATTAAGGTATGGGCATTAGTTTGAAACTAAAGTAGTAGCTAATTCCACACAAATACTATCATGTAAGCAAGGTTGTCAAGGCATATTAGAAAGTAAAAAAGAAACTATACTTGTGTGTGTTGCTCACTGTTGGGAAACAAGAAAATGTTCTGGTGTTGTGGATTGAAGGACAGCCACAATACTCCTATGTTCAACGACCTCCAGGAGTCCAGGTTATACTACCTTTGTACATCTCAGACTTGGGATATTAGGGGTCCATTAGTACATATGATCTATTCATCTAACTCATTCATAACTACAATAATACTAGAAGCCTGTTTTGAATCTCTAGTTTTGAGCTGTATCAAAACATTTAGCGAAATAACGTAATGTGGAAGTGCTTTGCAAAGGGTTTTTCCCGTATGGTTGTCAATGTTCACTTTTCCATTTTTAGAGGGTACATGATACATGTTGTATAACAAATTAAACAATAATCATACAAGCGGAAAAAAGGAGCAATCAGGGGTTATTTGGAACTGATTCTGCTTCTGCTTCTTTTTGAAAGCAGAAGCAGAATCAGAATCAGTTTTCAGAAGTCGATACCCCTCAGCTTTTAAAAAAGCTTATTCCGAGAGTAAATTAGAGCACCAGAAGTGCTTCTTCACTTTCACCCAAACACTTCAGCTTCTTCTTCTACTCCCTGAAGGAGCTATATCAGTTTTGAGAATCAGATCCAAACACCCCCTCATACTTCAAGTCATTTGGAATTAACAATAGCAGATCATGATGCTGGAATTTGTCTCAAGTGGAAATCAGCAAACCCATAGATGTCTTTAAAACGCATATCATAAAAAGGCTATATTTCACTTTTGCATCCTCTACACACACGAATTCCATACAAGCGGAAAACAATCAAAACTCGAAAACATTCAGCAAGTCTTCTCTTCCTAATCTCAGTCTCCAACTCTCCAAGTCATTTGGATTCACATTTAGTGATCATGGAATTGGCATTTGTGTTTCAAATGGAAACTGCAAACCAATAGAAGTGCGCGAAAACATATGAAATTCGCGGGAAACTGAATTTTTCGTATACCTGTCGGAGTGGAGTCGGCGGCCGGCTATAGCAGTTCCGGCGATGACTTCTCCGAAAGCAGAAGAAGCGGTCAGGCACAGTCTAGGCAGTGAGACACTGAAGCAATGCAAAGTGAGAGCAATGCAAAGTGAGAGCAAAGTGATAAAAATGAAAAACAAAAACTTTGTTGTGAACGAGAGCAGGTGTTTCGCAGCTAGAATTTGATCAAACCAGCCCAGACCAATTCCAATCTCTTACCGTAGGCTTTCGTTTGGGGGTGTTTGGATTGATTCTTAAAATTGCTCCCTGGTGCAAAAGTTGGGGTGTTTGGGTGAAAGTGTAGAAGTGATTCTGGTGCTCTAATTTACTCCTAGAATCAGTTTTTTTATAAGCTGGGGGTGAACAGCTTCTGAAAACTGATTCTGCTTCTGGTTTAAAAAAGAAGCAGAGTCCGAATTAGTTCCAAACATCCCTTTGGTTTTGGTTTTGGAGTGTGGTCTGAATTGACCTGAGCTAATAGATACGATAGTACTCTCTCCATTTCACGATCTTTGACACACTTTACTTTTTTGGCTGTTTCACAATCAATGACACACTTAATTCCTTATTTCCTTATTTGGTAAACAAATCTTTATCAAAACAGTGCAAAATAGTGTCAAACAGTGTTCAAACGGTGCCAAATAGTGTTCAAACAGTGTCAAACATTGTACTCTACAGTAAAATTTACCCTCAGTAACATTTTTTTCTTAATTCTTGACAAGTCAAATTGTGTCAAAGATTGTGAAACAGATGGAGTATTTGATTTGTCATCAAATATTTACACCGCCAACAATTATTCGTAACCAATTAGCATCATCAACCATACGTCTAGGCTCAGAGACAATCACCCGTGAAAAAACAATATGAATCGTTAATCACTCAACGGATGTCACACAGCAATAACCGATCATATAGATCTATGTAATGACATAATATTTAACAGAATTGAAAATCATTATCGTAGACATATACAACTAAAGACATCAACAAAAAACAGAGCAAAGTAAAACGCAACGCAAAACATAACGCGAAAATAAGACTATAAAAATAAAATAACCGGTAAATCTTCCTGATGGAGTATTAACTCCTAGAGAGAAGAGAGAGCTAGAGAGAGAAGTGGGTTGTATTAACTATTTTCGAACCCTTTACATGGCTCCCAAGGGGAGTATTTATAGGAAAAAGTGGGCTGTAGGGCCCTTATATAATCGTGAGGAGGCTCGATGATGAAGCTCCTTCAGAAGTTCCCGGGGCAGAGTACTGTTTGGAGGAGGGCCAGGAGGGTCCCGTCGTCAGCGCCATCAACTTTATCAGCCTCCGTTCTCCAGCGCTCCAGGAAGTCCCGAAGGGTCTCCTCCTTTCTCTGCCTCACTGTCAGCAAGTGGGAGAAGTGTTTTCTTGTGTGGTGCCTTCCCGCAAATTGCGTCAAGAATCGTTGGGCGAGTTCTTGCCATGAGTCAATGCAGCCCTCAGGCAATCGATTGAACCATTCGTAAGTCGGCCCCTCTAAGGTGGAGAGGAATCAGCGGCACAAATACTCATCCGATACCCCCACCATCGACATGCTGTTCTGATACATGTTGTAGTGCTCTTGGGGGTCAGTCTTTCCGTCGTAGGGCTTGATGGGCTGCCCTCGGTACTTTTCCGGGATCCGGGCCGCCAATACCCTTGGGGTGAATGGCGTCCGGGTCCGGAGCTGTATGGTGGGTTCCCTGGAGCCCTCGGCTATCTTCTTCTGCATTTCCTCCATCTTGGCCAACATCGCCTCATACTTGAGGTCTGTATGAGGGCAGAAGTGGTGGCGTGGGCCTTGGTGGCCTCCATCTCGTCAAGTCGGCGTTGGAGGGCCGCAATGATTTCGTCCTGGGGGTCCTTCGGGAGGGCCTCCGCCCGCTGCGAATGGACGCGGGCTGAGTGGGCCTGGTTGATTTGGTGGTGAGCGTCGTTGGCATGGAGAGGTGTCTTGCCTTTGTCCTGAGGGGGACACCTTTCATTGGCCCTGCAGACGAACCCGCCACTTTCCTGAGGTCTCTAGAACGCCTTCCCCCCTCGGCGGTCTTGCTGTCACGCCCCGGACCGCATCCGAGCCACGTAGACAACCGCCGTACAACCCGATAAGAACAACAACAGTTCATCCCTATTGAGTTGTACAAGGCGTACGATTGATTCTATTGCCAAACCGATTAGTAAACACATACAATCAACATCAATATCATAATCAAACAAATGCGGAAATAATAAAATGTTTGATACTTAGCCACACGTGGCAAACACGGGCACGCAGGCCCCCAACTGTTTTAATGAAAATATTGTTCAAAAATCCATGAGCAGTTTATATATTTGAAATAAGAATGGAAGCACGAACCACGTCTTCCTTCTCGATCAATCACCCTAGGCAAAGGTGCAGGTAGTAGGACTCTGGCCTCAACCTGAAAAATGTGAGGGGGGCCCGGAGGGTTCAGTACTCCATAGAAGTACTAGTGACAAGCAGGCTATATGAAGAATAACTAATGTTTCAGACACGAGACCCAAAAATAGGGTGATACATATATATATATATATATGTGACTCATTCATCCGATGATACATACGGTATATATATATATATATATATATATATATATATATATATATATATGTGTGTGTGTGTGTAAAATACTCGACCCGTAGGTCATTTCATTCAAAGAGTCTTTTAGAGATAAAGTTCTTACCTGACCTTTCTCACTCTTTTCCCGAATGCCTAGCTCACCAGCTACATTCTACATAATATCCTACCGAGTTTTGGGAGCATTTAGCATCCCGGGGATACTCAACCCCAACCGAGTTTCAGGATCATTTAATGTCCCGGGGATACTCAACCCCAACCGAGTTTCAGGATCATTTGCAGTCCCGGGGATACTCAACCCCAACCGAGTTTCAGGATCATTTATAGTCCCGGGGATGCTCAACCCCAACCGAGTTTCAGGATCATTTAATGTCCCGGGGATGCTCAACCCCAACCGAGTTTCATGATCATTTATAGTCCCGGGGATGCTCAACCCCAACCGAGTTTCAGGATCATTTAATGTCCCGGGGATACTCAACCCCAAACTAAATCCTTACCAAACCCTAACCTGGATATGGCTAACCTTTCGTTCCTTCAACTATGGACAATACCTAGCCCTATAGTCATATAACCATCCTTAGGAACCAACGTGGGCGGGTCCCACCTGAACGGCCCACATTAACCCGCTCAAAACTGCCCGTTTTGAGCATAAACCAATACTCGATCGAGTATCTACCCATACTCGGTCGAGTACAAGAGGCGGTAGCCCCCAAAGCTAATTTTCAATGTATACTCGATCGAGTATCTACCTATACTCGATCGGGTATAGGAGACCGTAGCCCCCTGAGCAATTTTTCAGAAAATACCCGGTCGGGTATGTGTCAATACCCGGTCGGGTATGGCAATTGACTTGGAGGTCAACGCCCCTTTTGACCACCCAAACGGAGTCCGATTAACTTGAAATTTCATACACATATACTTCTTGATGTCCTTGATCCAAAAATACAAATTTGGATCCCTGTATCATCACACAAAATATGTTATCACATTTTTAATCACCAAACCTACGTAACATGCTTTTCAACTATGTTTTAAGCAAAACCATGGCATAAGCAAATACTTGATTATCTTTAATCATTCCACAAACATGTCCTTGATTACTTTAGGTAATCTCATGCCTCACGCAAAAGTTATAAAGCATAAAGCCGTCTTCTCACCTTAATGAAGCTTATGAAGTTCTAGCCTTCCCGATTTAGCTCCGGCGAAACTCCGGCGAACTTCAACGAACTCCGGTGACAACTCCGGCGACCTTTTCAACTCCGTGAAAGTTCCTTGAATACCTTATACAAGTTACTAACAAGGTTCTATCATCCTAAAACCCATAGTAATACAAATAACCTCCAAAAGGTTATTTTCCGGCGAACCGGTTACTTTGGCTTCTAAGTCCGTTCTTGGACTTAGAACCACCTTCCAACCCCTCTTTCTACACATAACAACGTGTAGAACCATACTAGGGTGTGAAATATGATTGAATAATCATATAAGAGTATTTAAGAACAAGAAATGGGATTAATGGAGTCCTTACCTTGCTAAACACAAGTTTTCCTCTCCAAAACCAACTTTTCTCTTCTCTTTTCCCCTCCTTCTTCCTCCTTTGTTCTTGGTGCGTGTTAGGATGGTAACAATGGAGTTTTTCAGACCTTCTTTCCTCTAGGATGATGGACTGGCCGAGCCTATGGGTTGAGGATTGATTGAGAATGCCTTTTTGGCATTTCTCATCAAATAATATGGGAGGGGTCCCATTTCATTTATTTGTTTTGATCCCAGATCATTTCATGCCTCTCCCCCATGTTCTTGTGCGGCTCCCCTTGCTTCCTTGCAGAGCTAAATACGTGGGTTGGACCCCACTTATGTGGGAGGTCAACCCTTTGTGTACCCGAGTGTACAATCGGTCCCGAAAGTTATATTTTCCGGACTGTTTTAAGTATATTTTATTTTATCGGGTCAAATAAAATATAACACGTGTTCCCAATCCTTATTGGTCCTTAGAATCAATATGACTCCCCAACTTTAATTTAGAAATCTCCGGAACCCCTTTTTGGGCTGTTATCTGATAAATCGCCGATACCGATAATTTGGCGCCGTTTGACCAACCGGTCGACTCTATGCCATTGCCATGGCCCAATTAGAATATCCATCACCATATACATATTATCTAGTCCAAGATCAATATAATATGTGGTCCCGATAATATCGGGCGGCCCCACATCCGGTGTGGGCCCCACGTGAATTTTACTATTCACGTATTAGAAATGATAAAAATTTACAATCACGTAAAAATGCTTTTATACATTTCTCAAGGTTCAATACATAATTTGGTACAGTACAAATACTCGGGGGCGGTGTTACAAGTTCTACCCCCCTTATTTGGTATTTCGTCCCCGAAATCCACGTGTCTAGTCAAACAGAAATGGATAATGTTCCCTCATCAGGGTCTCCACTTCCCAAGTTTGCTCCTCGACACGATCACTCTTCCAAAGTACTTTTACCATCGGCACCTCTTTGCTCCTTAGCTTCTTTACCTGTCGGTCCATGATTTTCACCGGCTGCACCGTATAGTGTAGGTCTTCTCGGATTTCCACCGGTGGTTTCTCAAGAATATGTGACGGGTCCCGCACATACTTCTTGAGCATAG